GTAGATGCAGTGATCTTGCCAACTTTTGGCAGCCGACGATTCTTCAAACGCATTCATCACGCTGACCGCCAGAAGCGCAAAGCAGCAATAACATTAATCAAGTTTGAATTTGACGATTAGGTATTCTAATTAGCCTGATTACGACGACGGTTATCCTGCTGATGATTGCCAAATTCCACTCCGAGGCTCCTTGAAAACCTGGCCAGCGAGTTCTGGATTTGGTCTCGGAGCTGGTCAATGATCTCGTCGAGGAGCCCTGGGCATCCAGCCAAGGCATCTGAGTCTGAATCTTGGAAGCCAAATCCCATCAGTCTCTGCATCAAGCTGTATCAACTTCCCTCCAAGCCCGGAGCTTTAAACCGACCGAGGCTGCCAGCCAGGTCGCTGTTGGAGAGCATTGAGGGTTAGCATCGAAGATGCAAAGCTATCAGGTTCTCTTGTTTTGTTTGCAGGACCTTTCCCTCTGCCTGAGCGCCCGAATCCCGAAGGGTCTTTACGGTTGATAAGTGCTTATCCAGGCAACTTCTCAAACCCGACCCCGCTCCGGCCCATGGCTGTAGAGACAAGGCGCCCTCCGTGTCGTCCGCTGCTGTCTTAGCAGCTTCCTCCTCGACAAACGGCTGAATTCGACGTGACTCTTCTTTTCGGTGGTGTCAAGACACCATGCCAGGCCGAGGCCCAACAGTGTTTGATTTAGCCGAAATTACGTTGTTTGCTCGACCCTGCACTTTCCTTCCGGCCTGAGAACCTCAGAACAAGCCCCCCCGCTACAGTACTACATGTAGCGCCCCCTCACAGCATCCCCTCTTTCTGCCCTCAAAGTCGAGGCGAGGCCTTGGGCAGGGCCGCCTCCGCTGCCTCCAGCGCCTCCACCTCCTCCTGCAGCTTCTTCCTGAGCTCACCACTACGACTATGTCAAGAGGGTCTTAGGTTGGAGGCCTCCTTAGACATAGGGCGGCCAAGAAAAAAAACATGGGACTGCAGGTATCTGTATCCCATGAGCTGCCGTACGCTGCCCGGTGACCTGGCAAGAGCACACCTGAAGTCTGCCAGAAGCCCGTGAGGACTTTGGAAAATGCTCGAGTCTGAATGTTGAAGCAAGGCTCAGCTCTACTTGCAGCTGGCTGTTCTCGCCTCAGTTTCGTCAACTGTGCCGTGCTCTTCCAATCATGAATGCCCAGCCAAGCACAATCGAGTCCGACAGCTTCGTATCACTTGCAAGGCCAAGCCGCTACACAGCTCGTCATTGGCAGCATTTTGCCTGGCTGTCATCGGCAGTATTTGCAACCCGAAGTCCCAAACCCGACACCCCTGTCATCCCCTTGCTGAAGCCTCTCCGCGATGGAAGGTATGTCATAGCTTGCTTTTGCCTCGCCAACCTCAAGGGCCTAATCAACTCGTATCTATGGGGAGACATCCACTTCTACCAAGCACGGAAAGGTCGGGGAGAGGGATCCCGCGGTGCCCGAAGTATCCCTGAAGGCCTCTTCAGCGCCCCTTCCCAGTCGATGGCTTCTTCGGCGCTGTCGGGGAGGCGGACAGACAGCAAACTCTGCTGCAGTGTCGCAAAGCCTGCGCCGGTCGGGGCCTACTCATCCGGTTGGTTCGCCATTGCCAGCCAGAATGAACATAGTGAGCATCACCATCATTACTATCATTACCACAAACAGTTCTACTGCATCGTACTGGTTGGATACTTTCAGAATCCTATGGTTTTGGCCCCTGTGATCGTTGCAATGATGCGCACACCGTCGCCTCGACAACGACCCATGAGTCTTGAACTGTCCCTCTGATCATCGCTCACACTGGTTCGCACTCACACTGGTTTGCACTCGACTTGGCAAAGAAACCACGCGTCTAAGTCTAAGTCTAAGTCTTGCCACCAGAGTCCCCGCAGCACCTTTACATGCTGGAATTAAGATTACTATGATTATGATAATGCTTAGTATGATGATTACTACTATTATGATAATCATCATGAGTCGTATGATTGTGATTATAAGTTACTACTACTACTACTACTACTACTACTACTACTACTACTACGCCTATGGATTATGATTATCATTAGTATGATTATGATTATCATTGCTTATTACTACTTACTACTCTTCTTCTGGCTTGAGAGTCTACCGTAAGGCTTGGCCCGAAGAGGGGTCTGGCCTTGGCTGCCGGCGAAGCCATCTTGGAGGTTCTGGAAGAGCGCTCCGCCGGACCTCCAAAGGACACGAAGAAAGTTAGGGTTTAGGGTTTAGGGTTTAGGTTTTTTTTTTACAGTGCACTGACCTTTTCTGTGCGAGCTGGCCAGCCGGGTTTAGGGTTTAGGGTTCAGGGCCAAGAGGGCGCGTACGGTGAGGGCCTCTGAGACCGCCACAGAGTCTGTGGCGGTCTTTGAGTGAGAGTTCGATGTCTGGGGGTCTTTCAGGGAATTGCCGCAACGCTGCAAGCGCCCCTGTTGCTGCCCAAGCTGCGCACCGGCATTCGCCCAAGCCTCAGAAAGCGCCCAACTGCAGCATAAACGATCTGACTACTAACAGGCGCGAGCGGCCTGCGTATGCTTTCTCAAGAAGTGGCCTCGATCAACCCGCCACAAGCCAACAGCCTTCCAACTCCGCCGCTGCAGTCCGAAGATGCCTAGCATTTACACTCACAACTCCCCGAGGACTCAAGCTTCATGGACACTTCACGGAGTGGGCGTCCACCCGCGACACCGTCGTGACAAGAGCTTTCGAAAAAGCCAGGCAGCAACCCAGCTGTTCAAGGTTGCTTCCAGCGGCGTGGATTCTCTGCCGGGAGGTTGTACCATGGCTTCGAGGCATGAGCATCTTTGGCACCCAGAAGCAGCTTCTCGACTTGGAAGTGACGTTCAGGGTGATTGGGTAGGGCTGGGGCTGGGGCGGCTAGGGCCCTGGTATGCCCTAGGGCTGCAGAGCTGGAAAGAGAGGAGTGTCAGGGACGGCACACGGACCCGTGATCCCTCTAGCTTAAGACCCTCTTTTGCGCTGAAGGCTCGTAGAATCCCTTCCTTCCATAACGGATATGGTACAGTGTTGCCTGCTCGGGCAAACCTGTGCCGCTTGATCCTGCGACATGGCCTGGCTTATAAGCCCGGAAGATACGTGAAGAGAGATGGAGAGCGTCCCAACGCTTTGCTAACTTTGTCACCTCGTTTCCGCCGACCATGGATGGGCTTGCCAGGAGGGATCTTAGGGTTGGAGCGTGCGAATTCTAGCTTCCAGTAGGAGCTTTTTCTTTTCGCTTCGCGACTGCAAACGGCCCAGCCCCTCACTGCTCATCAGGGAGCGAGGAGGTCACCTTCTCGTGCAGCCCTGTTCCGCTTAGGCCTGCTTCTTTGCCTGCTCCCAACAAGGCCGAAGCCCTAACCCCCTGCTTACTTTCAAAGGAAGTGTAAACACCAACACCCGAGTCTGAGATGGTGTAGGTAGCAGGGCGGGTAAGCCGGTAAGCTCATGTCTTCGGAGCTGGGGACTTCGAGGCCAAGGCCTCGGGCGGCTCGAGACCATGCAGCTGCGATCGAAGGAAGCTCTCCTCGCGTCGCAGTCGGAAAGCCCAAGGCCCAAGGCTCCAGCCACCCTCTGACCTGACACTGCCAGGCCTCCATGCGCAGCGACTCTTGTTCGACCTCCACAGACGGAACAACGCAGAATCTCACGGGCGCCAAGGGCTCCAGAGTTTGAAGAGCCTTGTGACATTGGGATCTCAGAACCTCTGCCTCTCCTACAAGACCATAACCGATGGCCCTTCAACAACAGAATGAGACAGGTCTGTGATGGTCTGTGTGCGCCATCGAAGCCTTCAGATTCACCAATTCAGCTCTCAGCAGCTTGTTCTGCTCACGGAGCTCCTTTGCAAGCACAAGCACAGCCAGCTTCAAGAGGTCGCACTCCAGGTCGATTCTGTTCGGCATGCGAAGCCTACATGTCCGGAGACGTCGGCCGCTGGTTACAGTGCAAGACCAGCCAGGTGTTGTTACTCTTCGGGCGCCCCATGTTCACCATCTGGCCGGCGGGACCGGCCAGCCAGGGCTTTTCTTGGAGTCGTGGACAGAGAAAGCCTTTTTGTGTGAGCTGTTCGTCGAACATCATCCATATCCTCGACTGGAGTGGCTTGCCCTGTGAGCTGGTGTTGGCCAGGCAAGTCGGGACCTTGCGCTCGCAGCATCCCTTGCACTTCCCCCTCCTACTCCACCAGCTTGTTCCCGTCGTGACTTTCGTTAAGTCATTAAGCATCAAGGCATCAGTATGCTGCATACCAATGCAGCAGTTCTTGCCGCTATTGCTGTCACTACTATGATCGAAACGGGAGGAGACACCGCTTTCATCTGATGAAAAACAACATCGGAAGACTTGCGTTGCATCGTCACACACGAACCCTCGCAGCATTCGGCTGCATCTCGACACAGCGCTGCATCCCAATCTGAAGTGAAGAACCTCCATCCGAAAGCCCGTGGCCATCCCAACGAGTCCTTGTTCAGGGCCATGATGCCCACCTCACTGAAAGCAGCGAGCGTTCGGAACTTCCGGTCAACATCGTTAGGAACACGTCGCAGGCAGCATTTTCTCGTCCCACGGCTGCGTCGGTCGCTCAGGCACCTATTGGCCAAAATCCCCGCTCGAAGCTGCTCTCAAAGGGAAGGTGCCACGTGCAGAAGATGTCTCGGCGTGAAACTCCGTGAAGCCTGTAATTTCAGAGTCTTGAAGCACTTTCCACGTTCCGAGAGCCCCAAGCGGCTGTGGCAAAGGCCGGACGGATCCTCTAGGCCCCGAACCATACCGCCACCTCACAGTGCCTCACAGCCGCAACCACCACGACGGCGACTACTACTTACTACGACAAATCTCATAGTGTATTGAAGGGCCCGAGTTGTGAAAAGAGGATCCCCGGCCTTGGCCGGAGCCAAAGGTTGATGCCAGCTTTTTCGTCTACAACAGCGACCTCTGTACAGCGGCTGAGGGAAGTGGGCCCAAGCGAAATCGGCGTCAGCCGGGCAGGCCGGACCCCTGCCAAAGAAGAGTCCAACGCATGGGTGGTGCCGTCGGGTCCCAGCTCCTCGCAACGGAAAGGGCCGTGGCTTTGCTAGAAAAGACTAGTACAAGGCCCTTGTGATGCGAGGCCTCGGGGGCCTGGGCTGAGAGCCTACCGGCTCGTTTTGACAACGGTCCCCTGATCAGCGACATACGGAGACGTGGATTGAAGCAGTGGCAGAAATCGTCATGGGCTAGATAAGGGACGGGGTTGTATCAAGAAACTGACTCGTTACTTAACAGGCAAAATAGTAACAGTACAATTTCATGTTAGCTGCCATAAAATGATATCATGCTCGGCGTTGTTCATGCACGAGGGTTTCAAGCAAGGTGAAGTTCGGGAACGATTCAACTTTCAGGGGAGGAGCATATGCAACGCAAAAAGCCAGGGCGACAGTTGATTCAACATGTTTGTCATATTGGGGTTCATGCATGGAACCGAATGCACGCTGATCCCAACAACCCTCAGCAGCACCGCAAGCCTTTGAAGGTGGACTGCCAACAGAAACCTCAACCATCACGGACCATCTCAAGTCCAATTCATTTAGCTTGCGACACAGGAGTTGAACCGTGCAAAGCCGAGCCCTGAAGCCACTCCTTGTCTGCGGATGCAGGGCTGCACCCGGCGAGGTCCATGTCGCCCGGCCCTTCCTCGGGCTCCCAGAAGCCAGAAGCCGAGGCCAGACTGTGTGCAGCCAGGGTACATGACCTTGATGGACGTCGCTTTCCAGCTGGACATGAAGCTGCTGCGATCCGCCATGATCTCCTCAGAGTCTCTTTCCGAATTGCAGTTCTGAAAACACAGCTTGTAAGGGCTCCAAACGAGGATGCAGAATCGGTATGTGTGTGTGCGCGCGTCCTCACGCACTGCACGCCTCACCTGATGGTCTGTCCTTGCATCCTTCGGTCTTTGCGTGTCCGGAACCGGAAGCTTCGTGCAATGCAATCCAAATTATAGTCTGTCCTGTACGTACGGAAGTGCATACCGCATGACAGCAGGACGTGCATGGGACAACTTGATTCATTGATCAAGGGAGAAGCGAAAACACGCAGCCAAAAGAAACTAACGTGTCAAATCCAGACAGCCTTAAAATCATCAGCTGCCCTCTGGCTTCAGCACCACCCCCGGAACATGAGCACTGCCACCAAACAAACCTGCACAGCACGAGCCGAAGTAAAAGCTGTCGAGACCAGCCGCAATCCGCCAGCCCTCGCCCTCACTGCGCGTCTCCGCGTCCAGGCGGCAGCGGTTCGTCTCGTAATTGCGGAGCGCGGAAGACTGTGCGGTGGTGCTTCGTTTTGGGGGTCTGTGGGTTCAGCAGGTCGCTGTTGAAGGTGGGTCTTCCAGGCGACTCTAGGGGTGATTTGCGAACTGCTGCAGGGCTTTGAACACAAGCCGAGGCTCCGGACATCGGAGCAGCCAGGAGTGAAGCCGTACAGCACCCGAGGCTATTTAAACCATCATCAGGCCCTAGGCCCTAGACACCCTCAAGCCCCGGTATCCTTTGATCCTATGCAAAGACCAGCATTCCCTACATCTAAACTGAACTGCTATGATCTCCTATGCAGTCTAGAGCCCTGAACGCCGTGATTTGCAGGCCTGGACGGCAGCCACAAGGTCTTCGGGCAGGTCTGGCTGCTCGGAGCTGAGCTGTGCCACCACACCCTCAGGAAGGAACGGGTAGTGACAGCTGCAAAGGATGATTTCCATGCGTCTAAGCTCGCGGTGGTCCGGCCTTCTTGAAGTTTTCCTCGAACCTGGCTCAAGAGACTTAGCACACAGTCTGTTCAAACACCGCGACTCGTGGAACCTCTTATTTCTTGAGATCTGTTGAGTATACTGAAGGCCTTCACTTCACGTGGACTCCCTAGTCTCAGGTCCTCATGCCAGGATTTCTTCGACTCTGCGTGCATGGGCCGATCCCCTAATCGCAATGCGAAAGGAATGCCAGCAGCAACACTCATCGCCTTGCAACTGTACACTCGGAAAGCATTCCGGGCCCTCTGCTCAGGGAAGACCAAGACTCTAGACAACTACCAACATCCCCCAACGCTAGCAAAGAGCAATCACTGTCTTACAAGCTTGCGTTTGGCCCCAAGCTGCCTGGATTCGTTGAGGTTGGAAGCCCACCAGCCGAGTCCGATCGTGGAAGGCACTGCAGCTATCAGGCGCCAGCCGCCAATCCTCAGCTGGGCAAGAGATTCCTGCGATTTGCTTTGGACCCGGCTTCAACAAACCTCAGCCTTCTTGTTTGGGATGTGAATGGCTCCCGTCTCGAAGTCCAAATCTCATGAAATCTGTTAGACTTGGGGTTGGGGTGTAACTAGGACTCGGCAGAAAGGCTGCCGACAACGAATTCCGAGCAGCTCATAGACGGAAACCACCGCGCCGACCTCGGCTTATGAGTGTGCAGAGACTGCTCTGTTATCCAAGAGCATCTTGTGGCTTCTATGCTGCATTGTGGAGCCTCAAGCCTATAAGCCCCAACCTGACACGGAAAGCGCTTTTCCCTGTGGCTTCAACGCTCACTACCAACATCGTACCAAAGCTGCTAGCTGCTCAACTCAACACGGCGAACCCCCAAACTCCAAACACCCCAGTGCCCCTGTCTGTGCCCAAACTCCGCACATGCGAAATCTGGCTCGAAAACCTTACTGCATTCCATCAGCCGAGACCACGCCCCCTTTCCCGAACAGCCGCCGCATGTCCTATGCGTGGTGTGCTGGGATCTTTCTACCCAGCGCACGCTGTCCCAATGCGCAGGCGACCCCGCGTCGCACGATGCTTGGTGTTCGGACTGGGCCAAACGATGCAGGCTCCGTAGCCTGCAGAGAACAGAACAGTGGGGCTTTGGCCAAGTCGGCTAAGTCTTTGGTCCCACCGAGAAAATTTCAAGCGCACATTGAAAGGGCGCTCAAACGATCACCTCTCGGTCAGTCTCGAGCATGCCATTGAAAGGCGATTTGCAACCACGCTCCGCCTTCGGCGGTGTGGTCGTCACACCCTTCATGCCGCAGTCCTCTTTCGAGTCGATTGCATCAAGCCAATCGGGCTGAAGCTTGAAGTCATCCTCCATGTACTGGTGCTTGAAGAAGAGCTGCTCATCGCCGAAGGTTGTGGTGGTCGGACCATGCTCGCCGATCCGAATCTTCCCGATCAACTCTTCGGGTGCCCCTGGCTTCTCCAGAGCGAAGACTTCGAAAACCACCTGCCCTGGCTTCAGATCGGACTCGAGATTCTTGAGGCACTGGGCATAATCCTGGCAGGGGCACTCCACTTTCACTGCCGGGCGCAACACGAGCTCGAAGGGGAACTTGCCCTTCTGGCCGTCTGCGAAGTCCGAGGTGCCCACCATCAACGGGCAGTAAGAGGCCTGCCAAAACTTGGCAGCAACCAACTTGAGGGCAAAGCTGGTGCTGGCCTTGATGTGTGTGGTGAAGTCACGAGAGAAGAAGTTGCTCTCCTCACATGGCTGACCATCCAGGCCAGGCATAGCGACGAAGTTAGAGCTTGTTCGCCCGTCACGCAGAAGCTTCAGGCCAATGCCCGGGGTGAAGCCGGAGCTGCCTGGCTCCGCAGCTGACGAGAAGCGAACAAAGCCATGCTCTGACCCAGAGGCGAAGAGACCGCCGTACTTCGAAGTCAAAGACTCCCACTTGATGGGCGCAACAGCCCCGACACTGTGGATGTACTTGATGCGGGAGCCCGGGAAGATGTCCGACTGCGATTCAAACGACACCTGCACACTCTCAGACATGATGCCAGTCAGGAGTGACAGGGCGGCGGGATACTCGCCAGATGTCGTGTTCTTGCTGATTCGCTGCCACAGCAATTTCTGCTTCTGCTCCCCCGTGAGCTCTTCGTAGGGCTTGTATGCCGGAAAAGAACAGTAATCATAGCTGCCAAGTGGAATGCCCCAGGAAGCAGTGCCCTTGGCACACTTCTTGTCCTTCACCTTGCAGATGGGGGCTGCGAAGCAGCCAGCGAAAGGGCTCTCTTTGCATTCGGACACGCACTCGCAACCGAGCACCGTAGCTGGTGCATACTCGTAGATTGGCGTGTCTTGTCCAAGGGCCCAGCTGGCCAACACAGGCAAGGTAGCCACGGCACGCTTCATGCTTGGGGAGGGCTTGAAGCAGGTGTCTTGCACGGCCTACTTTTGATCTGCAATGCTACAGTGCAAATCATCGATCGGGGGCAGTTCAAGCTGCCCTGTCTTATTATGGCACGATGTACCTGTTCGGAAAGAAGCAAACTGCCGTGCGCTGCTGTTGACTGTGGTGGATTCAAATTCTTATCTGCATTCTACAGCAAGCAGCGAAAGAGCACCTGGCATTCCAGACAACACAATCACAGGCGAAGGTGCTTAACAACTCACTAAAATGCACAGATCACCCAAATCTGGGGCCCGGGGCCTCATAGCATAGCATAGCATAGCATAGCATAGCATAGCATAGCATAGCATAGCATAGCATAGCATAGCACAGTGTAGCATAGTATTGTATTGCATAGCAGAGTAGAATATACTATAGCATATTCACGATGCTATGTAAAACAATATCTTATCTCTTTCCTTATACCCCTTACACGTAAAGCTTTCAAAGCAGTGGCGGCCCAGCTGCTGCCACCGCCCCGGGTCCGGCGAAGCGGAGAGCCGGCGCGACGGCCGCCAGCCGTGGTGCCTGGAAGATCTTGCACGATAATATCGTATTATACAGTTCACATTACTGAAATATGATATTCTGTGCGTATCATACAGTCTACTACAATCTACCATAGTATACGGGTCCCGGTCCCATCCTGTCCCTGTCTTGGGCCTTGAAGTCGCCGCCACGATGGCGAACAGGACTAGATCCACTAGACAGACTTGGACAAGGTCGGACTGGATTGGCAAGATTGGACCACAAGTTCTATAACAACGTGGAAAATAGAATTCATCACGCCGCCTCAGCCCGCTCCCCCGCCCCACCCACTGTCGACTCGACTTCATCGCGTATGTACACTCAACTGACGGCGCTAGCAGCGCACTAACCGCTCAGCTTCCGAGCTTCCGAGGCGCGAAGGCAGCACCCCGCAGGGCAGCACCCAGCATGATGAAGCGCTGCCCCCAACTAAGTGAATCCTGCCATTGTTCGGAGTACAACGATTGGGACAACGACTAGGACGCAAGGCTGGCGCTCGGTGCAGAAGTTTAGAACACGACACAAACCTCATCATCATATTCTTCTTCGTCTTCATCATCTTCATCAACATCATCATCATCATCATCCTCGCATGGCTTGCAGACAGAGAACTTCCTGTTAGAAGGACAGGCCAGATGTGAAGGTTAAGGAAGCTCTTGAACCTATGCCCTTCGCAAAGGAAGGCCCTGCCGAGCAATCTTGGCTCCGCAAGCATTCCCACCGCTCTGCAAATCAACCCTTCGATGGCTTCGAATCCACCAGCACCTAAGTACATCTTATCACTGCTGCTGCCAATTTTCACCCTCATTCTTCAAGGCAGTCCTGCGAAGCTTCCGGTTCAGGCGCCTGCTTGTCCTCCTGAGAAAACACATGCGCGGTGTCTCGCAGCACAAAGCTGGTGGTTCTAGCTACCCCATGGTAGCTACAGCCCCGGATCAGAAGCCTGGGCGCTGGCATCCTGCTCAGCCAGGTAAAGCTGTATGACTACTGTAGTTATGTCCCAGTTATGGCCGTGAAAAGTTCAAGGACTCAGGCCCAGCATTTCTTGCATCCATTCAAAAATGCATTCATCTCTACTCTTAACACATCTCTCTCGAACCCAGCTTGCTGAAACACCGCCCAGATCAGCCAACCTTTCTGCAATGAGCTGTAGCTGCGTCCTTCTCTTCCCGTTCCGTCTTCTGGGGCTCGTTCGGAGCGGGTCCGTGCCTACAACAGCTCTGCGCAGAATCCCTCTTTGAAATTTGCACTGCACCCTGACCCTTTGGATGACCCCTCCTTCCACCTTCAATGCCACTGAGTTCCGCTTCCGAGCTGCATGGACCCTGCGCCCGACTTTCCTCGACAGCCTCAACGGTGCGACCAGGCCCCGCACCTCCGCGAGGCGAAGCCCCGCAGCGGAACCACCAGGCGCCGAAGCGCCGCAGAGGCTGCCGGCCGTCCCGAGGGGAGGGGTGAGAGGGCCGCAAGCATGGCGAGAAGGGATGGAATGTGTTGGAAACTGGTGTATGTCTGGAGTTGATGCGTGAGGTGAATCAGTTTGCTGGGATCTGCTTTAGGAGGCTAGTGTTCTTTTTGGAACGATCTCCCAGGCTCCTGGCCGTTCTTGCTACTTATTGGTGTAGAGAGTAGAGGGTTTGCTTGTTCGTTTCCGCTGGGGCTTCTTAATACCTGTGCCTTGTGTCAAGTCCGCCGGGGAACGGCGAGGGTGTGAGAGCTGACTGTGCGAGACGCGCTGATCGACGATGATGGCCCAGCGTTACAGGTTCATTCCGGCCGGCCTCGTTCTAAACTGACCGGGTTCACTAATTGTCCATGTCTCATGTTGGGAACCACACCGTGTGTTCGATGCTCAGCCACAGGCGTACTCGGTGCTAGGGATGTAGCCCTGCATGAGCATCTCTTCGGCCTAGCAGTGGCGAGACTTCCGACATAGTATATAGATCCCTACCTGCAGGCATCAGAGCGGAACCAAGTGATGACGTATCGAGGCAATCATCCCTTTTCTGGCATGATGATGACTGCAGTGTGAGTCTCATAACCACACCAGGAACACTGCGACAGCTCTTGCCTCTGCCACTACACAACTACCCCCGCTCCTCCTCCTCCTCCTCTTCCTGCGCCTCCTCCCTGCTACTGCTGCTGCTTCTGCTCCTGTTCCTGGTCCTGGTTTTGGTCCTGCTACTGCTACTGCTACCGCTACGACAACGACGACGACACTGCTACGACGACGACGAGTAACTACTACCAACTACAACTACTTGTAACTTTCATTAGCAACTACTAATCCGAGCACTTGATTATTAAAATCCCCCATATTTAAAGAAATTTTTTTGGCAGATTTAGGGCGATCTGTATGTGTTTCCATTACG